AACATTTATATTTATATATATTAATATATAACCAGAATACAAAAATCTTCTAATTTGTTATTGTCACATCTAAATTATAAAAAAAAGTGTATTAATTCGCTTGAAATTTTGGTACAATATTCTTCAGATATAATGCATTCAATATAAATAAAATATATATAAATAAAAACATAAAATACCTTTCCCTCCCTTAAGCCAATATGATGTACACGGACCTTAGTAAAGCTGTTGACTCGGTTAATCATTCTCGTCTTATAAGAAAACTCGACACAATGGGGTTTCCCAGTGATCTCCTTCATTAGATTTTCAGTTATTGCAGTGACAGACCTCAAAAGGTTCTGTTTAAAATCGTTTTATCCAACTGCTTGTCTCACTTCTGGAGTCCCACAAGGTAGTATCCTTGGACACGGCTAAAAGAATTGTTTATCAATGACCCGCCGATTGTTCTTACCAACTCTAGAATACTTGTATTCCTAAAACTATGCTTGCAGGATAAGGATAGTTCATGTCAGTCAGACATACAATCGGATCGTAATTTTTAGATGTCATTCAACAGTATGCCACTCATATTCTAAATGACTGCTCCTTGAAAAGAATAAGTCTTGTTGACGTAATCTTCTGATCTCTATACATATTTCTCTCATAGATCTTTATAAATCATCTTTCATCTTTCCAAGTGCACGGACGTGTTTTTTTCTTGCGCTCTCGTTTTGTATTAAAGTTTGAATCTAACCACCGGGGTAACTTAAATTTTCTAATTTGTGTTTATAACTTCCCGTTCACTTCGCGTGTGCATGCAGCTATTCTAATTTGTGTATATAATTGGTTTTATTTTCCAATTTAGTTGTGCTGCTAGTGCTAGCTTTTGCATATTTTGCATTCCTTTTTGTGCCTTCTTCGTCTAGCTTTTGTTTGCGCCGTCGCAACAGCTAAACGTTTTATCTATCTATCTCCCACGCTCTCTCACTCTCTCGCTTTAGCTGTGCCGCTGCACTTCTTATCTAATCTAATCTCATTCGCTCTCCCGCTCTCTCGCTCTCGCTGTTCATATCTCTGTTGTTATTTTTTCCAAGTACAAGTACAGTGGTAAGTCCTAATAATGTCCGGAAATATTGTCTGTTTAGTCAAAACCTGCAAAAAGGCAGTTGTTGCAGGTGACCTTACAATCGGCTGCTGGCTGTGCGACAACGTCATGCACGCCAAGTGTATTGGAGTTGCAGCTCGGACGGTGGACGATGTAAAAAAAAACATCGGCCTGCGTTTCTGTTGTGAGGCTTGTCGCGATGTAGAAAGGGAGATGATGTCTTTCATGCGGCAAACCAAAAGCGGTTTTAAGGGCATTTTAACGAGTTTTCGTAAAACTCTTGATATGTTCTTGGCGCTGGACTCCCAATTTAATAGCCTTACGCTATTAAATGAGTGTCCTAGGCGGAAAAAAACTATTGGTGGGCAGCATGTAGACGGACCCCAACTATCTGCAACGGGCTCTTAGCAGCAGCCTCCCTCGGCACAGCCCTCTACCTCAACATTGATTCCAAGAGTGCTGAGATCGAGCGCTAGAAAAGATTCTTTACCAGAATGAGCAGCGGGAGTGACCGTACCGCCGGTGATTTCTGTTTTGTCCCCTGGGGGGTCGCAAATATTGACCCTTCAAAGTCCCGTGTTTAACGATATATCTGCCCAGGGTGTTAGGCCCGGAATACCGGCCGACAATGGCACGGCAGATAACCAATCTGCCTTGCCAAAAGCCCTTATAGAGGATTCACCGACGAGACATATTTTTGTCTCGCGGCTCTCCCTTGACCAAACATCGGAAGATGTTCTCGCCTTTATACAAGGCAACACCAGAGCCGATCAAATTAAGATAAAGGTGGAAAAGTTCAAATTTTCTTACGCTAGGGACATTTCATCTTTCAAACTAAATGTTCCTAACGAGCTCTTTAACACTATTTGCTCTCCCAACTTCTGGCCAGAGTACATGTATTCTATAGCCTTTCGTTTGCATCTCACGTTATTGTGCTTACAGAAACATGGTTAAAGCCGGAGCTTCTGAGCTCCGAAGTTTTTCCAGCTGTGTTCACAGTATATCGGCTAAATCGCCCTATCAGACGGGGTGAAGTTTTTATAGAGGGGGACTCCTCACTCACGTCAGAATTATTAACCGAGGAATGCAACGGTGTTGAATTCCTCTGTGTGAAGCTATCTATCAAAGGTAGCTCAATTTTTATTACCTGTTCCTACATACCTCCATTGTCGGAACTTCCTATCACCTTTCAGCTATTCAGATGGTTTACAGTAAACTTTTAGATAGAGACCAGTTGGTAGTCCTAGGAGATTTTAATATCCCTGGAGCTATTTGGTGCTCAAGTTATTCCACAAATACTCTCCATACACTTACACAGCATGACTTTATCGATGGCTTGTTCGACATTTCGTTATCTCAAGTCAACGATGTTCGAAATTCCCTACAGCGCTTGCTCGATCTTTGCTTCGTCTCTGATCCTGCGAGAGTCAGTTTAGCAAGGGTGGCGCCTCTGACGCAGCCCGAAGATCCTTATCATCCAATTTTCGATGTGTCTTGATATTGGGTACAGAATATTTCTGACCGTCCAGCCAATAAAATCGTATGTTTTCGCAAGACGGTTACGAGTTCAGTTGCCATGGATATTTTTTACAATGCCATGAATTCTTTTTTTATTGAATGTGTTCCGTTATATTATCCGTCATGCTCGAATAAACCGCCGTGGTTTACTACAGAGTTGAGCCGACTTAAAAATAAAAACTCTAGGCTGTATGCTAAATTTAAATTCACCGGTTCTCAATCTGCCCTTTCATCTTATTTATCAGCTCGGTCAAACTTTACCGTGCTGAACGCGCAGTATTATAAAAACTATTTAACTCGTTGTAGGGCCCAGTTCTCACAGGACCCAAAACAGTTTTATAATTTCGTTAACACTAAACGTAAGCCTAAAACAAATCCTTCCTCGCTTTCATTTGAAAATACTACCGCAAATAATGATGAGGCAATAGTCGATCTATTTTCGCAGTTTTTTCAAGCTCTTCGAATTTACACCAGATTTATTCCTACGACATACCCAAATCAAACTTAATTTTCTGTCCTAGCCTAAACGAAAGCTCTCTTCTTTTAGATCTTCATCGTGTCAAGCCAGTTTATTCGCCAGGTCGCGACGGAATTTCTGGCTGTGTGCTCAGGTATTGTGCCGACGCCCTGTGCTATCCCCTCCAGAAATTGATTACCTTTAATTGTCGGCCATCCCTAAATTATTTGAAAACATTATCACCTCTCACTTACAGCACCTTTGTAGATCAGTTATTTCTCCATGTCAACATGGTTTTATTAAGCGAAGATCAACAACAACAAATCTTTTGGAGCTCTCTTCCCATATTATAAAGGGCTTCCATAATACTTTTCAGACAGATGTAATCTATACTGATTTCAGTAAAGCATTTGACTCTGTTAACCATTCTCTCCTTGTTAGAAAACTCGATTTAATGGGTTTTCCAAGTGATCTTATTAATGGGATCTCAATTTATTTGAATGGCAGGGCGTAAAAGGTCCTCTTTAAGAATAATTTACCCAATGTTCTAAGGGTTACATCTGGCGTCCCGCAAGGAAGCCATTTGGGACCCTTATTGTTTACATTATTAATAAATGACCTGCCCAAAGTCTTGACTAACTCCAGAGTACTTATGTACGCGGATGACGTCAAGCTTTATGTGCAATACAATGACGTTGCCTGCCAGTCGGATTTACAAACAGATCTTAATAATTTTCAAACTTGGTGCCGTGTAAACTTATTAAACTTAAATGGCTCGAAATGCAAGCTAATGACATTCTCTCGTGTCGTTCCTAAGCTTGCTACTTACACGCTCTTTGGAAAGAATTAATACTGTTGACGATTAAGCGGGGGTCGAAGGAATTCAATGACCCCTATATTACTAAATCCTTATATACTTATTTAGTTCATCCTATCTTAGACTATGGATGCTACGTTTGGAGCCCTAAGTACCGCGTCCATAGTAAACGCATTGAGTCGGTTCAAAAGAACTTTTTACTTTTCGCTCTACGCGGTTTAAATTGGGATGCAAACCAAAAATTACCTTCCTACTCAATAGACTCCTATTAATAAACTTACTCTTAGCCAATCGTAGACCGATGCCAGGAATAACCTTTGTTTTTAACTTTATTCATTGTGATGTGGACAGCGCTGACTTGTTGTAGAACTACTAGATCCTATATCCCATTAGTGTTGCACCACTGTAGAACCTCCTTCGAACTGCATGAACTAACACCTAACCCAAACAGGCACGTGCCTGGTGTCATACGGGTCACTTGAATGCACTGACCTTAGTGCATCAACGTCCAAGTATATTTCTCGCATTCTTAATAAAGAAAGTGGCTTACTTGGATTACCCTCAGGTAACGAAGACTATTTTTACTTCGTTAGCTCACCTGTACCCACCTGCAAGAGCAGCTTGATTTTAATGTCCCCAACCTAAATCCAGAACCTATATTCCCTTATTGTGCTTCACTGTAAGAGGAAGTTTGAAGTACATGAAGCCGTTAGGATCTTATTTGCTGATTACAACCGCCTTTTCGATAATATTAAGGGCATTGAATGCCTTTCCGACCTAAAAATGTGTATGTGTATCTATTTCCCTTCTCGCGCGTTTATCTAGAACATAAATGTGCCGTACGGCTGCATCCCTAGATTAGTTGGAGGTGGGAGTGGGACTTGCTGTTCGACCGTATGTTTAGAAATTTACCTTAAAAAGGAGTCAAAAGAGAGACGCCATTGTTTTGGAGATTTTATTTATGGTGGCTTGTCTTAATATTATGGTACCTTGGTACAAATCTGTGTAATGCCAATGTGTGTGTTTTTTAAGGTATGTGTTTTTTTTAATAATTTAGCATTTAATTTAATTGTATTTATCAGCCTTTTATCCATACTACATAAATTTTTTGCTTTTAATTTTAGGTTAAGATTTGGTTCCAGAATCATCGATATAAGTGTAAAAGGCAGGCAAAAGAGAAAGCAATGGCAGAACAAAATCAACACAATCAGGTAATTTCAAATATACCAAGCTATCTGGGTGAACTTTGTCTCTCCCCTAATTGATGTTTTATGTAACCCCGGAGTGATAATAAAATCTTAAAACGGAGTGATAAGATACTTTAAATTTCTATCTACATAGCCTATATATATAAACTATATTTGTATACCCTTGCAAGAAATTATAATTTCAGTCAGAAGTTTGCAACGCAGTGAAGGAGTCACCTCCGACCATGTAAAGTATATGTTTATGTTTGTGATCAGCGTCAGCAGCCTACTCGATTAAGTCATGTCTGTATGTTTCTACGCCAACTAGTCGCAGAGTTTTGAAGCTATCTGAATGAAACTTTGTCTCGTATATATGTCGAAACGGACCGGATCGTCTATATCACATAGCTGCCATAGGAACGATCAGAAAATTGGATTAATCAAATTGGAAATATAAACTAAATTAAATTAAATTATTTATTAAATTTTATAGATATTCGACTATATTGAATAGCAGTCATTTCCTTTATATCCTTTAGATATAAAGGAAAAGGCAAAAATGAACGTAAAACTGTAAATTTAATATGTATATGATAAATATATATAATCTAAATTGTATTGATTCCTATTAATAGAAGTTTTATCTGCAAGAGTATATAAACTTCGGCGTTCCCAAGTTAGCTTTCTGTCTTCTTCTCAGCAAATATGACCATTAGTTGTCCGGAAGTTTCTTAGAAACCTTTTTTTTTGCATTAGTGTCGGGCACCATCAGATAAGATGTCACATGGTTTCAGTTACTTCGGACTTATCTCACATCCTACAGTTTCCATTGTCGGTGATGTCTAGCTCAACTAGCGTTCTTCAGTTACTCCGTGTTGGACATAGCATGTAATGGCTCAGTTTGCCATCGCGCTTTGTGCACATATTCGTATATGTTAACCGCTTCTCGTAGATGGTCTATTCTCTGCGCAAGCTCCTCCGCCTTTCTGATGGCATATTCCGCCTGGAATATGCTGGAATGGGTGGCTAGTTTATACGACAGCCTTATCTATGTGTCTGTACAGTGTATGCCCTATCCTACACCTCGTTCCATATTGGAGCCGTCGGTGAATATGTAGCGGTATTGAGCATGGCGCTGGTTGATTAGGTCGGTGACCACGAAATTCCATAGGAGGGCCGACAGAACTCCACCTGAGCGCCCCATCAGATTATACCCGCCTAAAACTTGTAGGGAGCAGGGAGCATTGCGTCTGTTGTTACGTCGTTGAATGCCTTGGATATGTGTACAAAAACTTCGAGCACATATTCCTTATTGTGCAGGGCTCTATATTTTAGGTACTAATAAATGTAGAGCCGTCTTTACTGATTTCCCTTTTGTGTAGTAATGCTGGATGGTTTACAGCAGTCTTTCCACATTGTTTCTGATGTATAGGTCAGGAAGTTTTTCTAGCGTCTTCAGTAAGAATGATGTGAGGCTTATCGGCCTATAATCCTTGGAAATATTTCATCTTGTCTATGATATGGAATCTGTTGGGTGACGCTTGTCTCCAGTTGCTAGGTCCTGGTGCTCGTCGGCATCGGTGACCTCTGTGCAACCTGGGAAGTGAGCTTGTATTAGTGATGTAAGCTTGTCTTTACTGCCCTCAGTCCACTGTCCGTTTGAGCTGTCTCTGTATATTAGGTTTCTTCGATATCAACTTCCGTAGTCTAGCCGATTCTGGCGCCGTCTCTACATTGGCGCAGAAGTTTCTCCATGAGTTTCTTTTCGCTGTGTGTATTTCCTTCTTGTAATCTCTTAGTAGGATTTTGAATCCTTCGTTAACTATATTATTTTGCTTGTTTGGGATTATTGCGTTGGAGCTGGAGGCCCTTATTTCACCACGGTGGCTTTGGCCTCGACATTGGGCATAATGCGTAGTTATTCTTTTGAGATGATATCCAAGGACTTTTCAATGTCTTCGGCCAATCTTACCGTTCCCGGAAAAGTCGCGCATCTTGTTCTAATTGTCGTTAGAATTATTCCCAGTTAGTTGTCCGGGGGTTTCTGATGACAGTTTGCTTAGTAGCCATTTTGAAAGTGTTTGTACTTATAGTCTGAAAGCGATGGTCGCTCGAGGTATTTTTATTCTGATTTCATAATACACTGTACGGCTTAGAACGTTACATCTAGCACGTTTGACGAGGTTGGATCTACGAAGGTGTGCTCCTCCACTACGTTTGCTATGTACAAACTAGTCCGAAGTACGTATTCTAAGAACGACGTCTTTTAAGTCACACATTCCGCCAGGAAGCTTCTAGAAAACCAATCGTCACACCCAATGACCCGATGTCACCTGAACACGTCTGAGGAGTCGATGGGGATGGGGCCGATCGGCGTGCCAACCCACCTGTCGGTTACTATGTCGGCTAACTTAGTGTCTATCTCCTCCCACTACTCCGACAGCAGGCGATCGTCGCCGTAGTGCTCATTCACTAGAGCCATAGCCAGACTGTCTCTGGCCACCTCGCTGAACTGCTTTGCCTTGCTGACAAAGTTGGTCACTCGTGGCTTGCCCTGTGGGTCCCTCGCCCTCTTGGGTGCACTCTCGCTCACTTCCTGTGACCGATTAGCTTTGCTTTTGAGGGCTGGAACGCCGATGGGTTCGCCTTTTGCAGGCCTCTGACTCCGGGATCCCCACAAGGAATTTGGCTTTATCTTTGGCGTCCCGAGGCTCCGTCTTGCCCTCAGCCTCGTTATTGGCAATCATGCCGAGTATAAAGCGGGCTCTGTCGACCCTCTCTCGCTTGTGATGCTGTGACATTTTTGACAATTCTGTGGTGGTGCCCAACTGACCCTCACCTGTATGATTTGATTGGGGAGTGCTACTTGCTCTCTCCTCGGATTGCGACACTTCTTCGTCGGTCTCCGATACAATGTGAGATGCCACGACCAATCTCGACCTCAGCATCACCTCCTCGTGGCTAATGCTCTCCCAAAAGTTCCGAAGCTCCGCGTTGTAGTTCCATTTTCATTCATAAACGCCCGCTTTGCTCGACTTGGCAAGCGCTGCGGGCCAGGAGGGGTGTGGGGCATTGAAGAATGTCAACCACAGCTTCGCTCCAAGACTTCGGCCAGGCAACTTACGACCCAGGGTAGCCTGGGCCTGAGAAGGCTCCGTACAGACACAGCTGGATTAACCCCTCAGCTGAGAACCTGGAAGTCAGTGGGCACGGGTCGCGTTACACACCTGACTTGAGGGGAGGCTTTATAAAGACTTGCCCATGTCCTACCGACAACAATTGGTCAGCATCCACGGTCGAACCTCGACTGGGGACCCGCGTTCACCCGCTCTCACTTGGGGAGTATAGTCGCACTATCGATGGTGCACAGTTACGGCAGATGACTCGGTCAACCATTGATTTCACTGTGTACCCGATCGACTCACGGTCTTTTAATTTGAAGCTCTATTTAAAAAATATTAATACACTAAAAATTTTTTTTTTATAGGAAATATATAGATAGAATATAGAAAATTCCAAACTGTAAATGCAGACCGTAACTGTAAGTAGCTTTGTTTCCGTTCTTGTTAAAGTCTTGGCTACACAAAATTTCAATTGTTTCAACTTTCCGAGTATGAATTCAAATTGTGTTTTTGTACATTGAAGGTTTTCAAAGGAAAGTTGTTTTGGACTTGTATGTCCGGACGATATTTGCAAGATTATTTGCCATCAGCAGCCAGTACAGGCTTCTTGCCTTATCCTCTATTAAGCGCCTAAGTGCATTTGTACGCTGGTGAAGGTTAACCGGGTGTCTAAAGTGACCCCCAGGTACCTTTACTCCCTGACCTGCACAAGAAACTCTCCATGCAGTAAAAAGCCAGGGCACGACTCCTTTCTGAGGGAGTTCCAGCAACAGGCCCAATTCTCCACTTCTTGAGGTACAGCTGTAGCACTTCCGTGCCGTCATAAAAATATTTTGATCTGGAGAGTATCGCAGTATCGTCTGCAAATGTGGCCTGCATTGGATTCTGCTCCTGACGCAAGGAACTCTTCATATCGTCGGTAAACAAGCTGTACACCGTCGGTCCCTTCCTTGGGGAACTTTAGCCTTAATCAACCTTTGAGAGGATAGGGTTCCGTCCTGGACCAACTTGTATGTACTGTCATTTCGAATAGTTGCGGGTTAATTAATGGCTTGAGCTTGCAAAGTAGCCATGCATGCCACACCCTATTAAACGCCTGCTGTATGTCTAGATAGGCAGCCACCCATCGAGTATATACTTTCCACACGGTGCAACTGCTCAGGGGTGCCGTTCTTGAATTTGAACCCAAAATGAAATTTGGTAAAAGCGTTCATTGCCTTCGGAGAACCTCCTAAGGATCCCAGAAGCATACCCAATGTGGAAAGGAAGCCAATAAGTTGATGACAGTTGAGGTCCTTGGGTGGTTTGCCAGGTTTAAGGATCATTACAATGCAACCAATCTTCACAGCCTTCGGATAATAACTCAACCTCAGGGAAGCATTGAAGATGATTATAATGTGTAGCAGTGCTCTAAGAGGTACAGTTTTTGCAACACGATTGACAATTTGATGCACATTTTAAGCAAAGGTTTCAACTTTGTCTTGTGTAGATCTTATCCATGTGCCATCCTCATTATTGACAGGAAACTATGGAGTAACTTACCTTTTATAGGATCTAGTCAGCTTCGAAAGGGAATAGTTGGCGCTCGCATCAGCTGTCACGTTGTCCAGCATACGATCCGTAGCTTCAACCTTAAGTAATGTCAGTTTTTTTCGCACTCTGTTTGAGATCCTCCTGAACATCCTGCTTATCCTTATGCCGGATGTGTGGATATACTCACGCCTAAGCCTCTTCTTCAGCAACAGCACTCCTTCTACTTCAGAAGAGAGCACACAATGACTCCTTGGCGTAAGGAGCTTGGAGACACCGGTGGGGCCGCAACAGCTGCAGCTTTCCTAATTCTTGTAGGGATTAGGTTGAATCCACGTTCTTCTTCGTATTGAGGTAGGTGGAAAGCTCATG